ACCCCCCCCCCCCTTAAACTTTTCAATACTGAACTGATTTTTGCTTTTTTTTTTCCTAGCCAATATGCTCAGGTGAGCGATGTGGCCCATGGGCCTCTTGTTTTCCTACTTGTCCATTCGGACAAGTGACCAAGACATTTACTTGTCCGAACTTCAACTTCACTTGTCCGAAAATTTTCCAATCGGACAAGTGCCCGGCAATATTCACTTGTCCGTAATATTTTTTCACTGGTACCGGACAAGCGGACAAGCGTTAATGTCGAGCCCTGTACACTTAGATTTATATACATCTTTAATTTAGCTACAAAGCAGGCGACACATGCGTTCCTTGGAACGTGTTAATGTTCATCAGCTAAAAGTAATGCATGCAGTACTTGAAAGTAAATAACTAACATGAAATGTTTACAAACAATGGCTAAAACAAACAACAATTGAATTTTTACCTCACCTGAGGCTCAAGTGAGCTTTTCTGATCATATATTTTGTCATGGTGACCTACTTTTAAAATTTTATGGCTACATCTATATATTTCATGTCCTAATCATGCTAATTGGCTTAGAATCATCAATCTTTGTCAATTGATGCATCTTGGGTCCTTGGAGAATGTCATCCAAAAAGTAGGTCACCATGACAGTCACAGTGACCTACTTTTGAAATTTTATTGCTGTATATTGTATCACATTTACTTATTGGCTTAAGGACCCTCTCTACACTGCACCCTATTTTCAGGGTACTTTTGTGTAATTAGACTGACCCACCATTTGATATATAAGTAGAATAAATTGTAATCTGAACTGTATCACATAATTTAAAATAAATCCAAGTATTCTAAACATTATATTAGACCAAGATAGAGTATTTGAAAACTTTATTTGCATGTATTTTATCCATTTGAGTAAGTGAAGGCAATTTTTCTTTTCTATTACCTCATTGTCTTTGAAGATTTTTCCTGAATGAAAAAGGCACACTCCTTATATTAAAAATGGGTTAGTGAATTTCAAAATCTTCAAATCTTAAAATCATCAAACTGCGTCAGTTGATGCATCTTGGGTCTTCATAGAACATCAACTGAGAAGTGGGTCACCGCAACCTACTTTTGAAATTTTATGGCTATATTTAAATATCTCAGGTTCTAATTGGCTTAAAATCATCAAACTTTGTCAATTGATGCATCTCAATGGGTCCTTTGAGAGAACGTCAACCAAAAGATAGGTCTCAGTGTCCTACTGTTGAAATTTAATGGCTATATTTAAATATTTCCAGTCCAAATTGGCTGAGAATCATCAAACTTTGTCAGTTGATGGGTCCTTTGAGAACATCAACCAAAAGATAGGTCTCAGTGTCCTATTTTGAAATTTAATGGCTATATTTAAATACATGTATTTCCAGTCCTAATTGGCTAAGAATCATCAAACTTTGTCAGTTGATGCATCTTAGGTCCTCAGAATGTGTCAAATAAAAAGTAGGTCACAGTGACCTACTTTGGGAATTAAAGACCATATCTAGTTATTTCAAATGATAAGAGTCTTAAAATCATAAAACTTTGTCAGTTGAGGCATTTTGGGGTCTTAGAGTATGTTTACCGAAAAGTAGGTCACTGTGGCCTACTTTTGGATTTTTGTGGCTATATTTGAATATTTAAGATAATAAGGGGCTTTGAATCATCACACTTTGTGAGTTGATTCATCCTGGGTTTTCAGAGTGTTTTAACCAAATTGTAGGTCATGATGACCTACTTTTGGAATTTCAAGGCTTGATCTAAATATACAGGATACTTAGAGGCTTCAACTAGAAGTGATGGGTTATACAATTTGTCAGAAGACCTTGGGCCTCCTGTTGTTCAAATCACGACTCTTGTATATAGAGTGGACCCACAAAAGGCAATCAAAAATACAGAAAAATACATATTTTAGGGGGAAAAATCTAATCCAGAACAGCAGGGCCAAAGTGTCTCGGGTGAGTGTTGTGGCCCATGGGCCTCTTGTACATTTATACTTGTATATATAAGTTATTCTGAATTTGTTTTGACAGATTTCTCAGGATGTGCTGTGCAGTGTAGTTTTTAAGAGAAGAAAAAATTCACCTCGATACAGGTTTTTATACCACATGTTAATCTTCATAAAGTATTTAAGTAATGCATGCAGTACTTGAAAGTAAATAATTGACATGTTGTGTTTACAAACAATGGCCAAAAACAAACAGGCTAATGATTGAAAGTGAGCTTTTCAGATCAGATTTTGTCCAGCGTCTGTCTATGAGTCCGTCTAGCTGTAGGTACGTCTGTCTGTGTGTAAACTTTTCGCATTTTCAACTTCTTTGCAAGAACCACTATGCCAATTTCAACCAAACTTGCCATCATATTAGCTCAAATAGAGTTCCACAGCTTCTTCCAAGCGAAGATACGGTAATTAAAAATTAGTGAAAAATCAATGACAGTTTTTAAAAATCTTCTTCTCAAGAAACCACTGGGCCAGGAAAGATGAAACTTTTGTGTAAACATCCTCAGGTAGTGTAGATTCAAGTTTGTTCAAATCATGACCCCCAGGAGCAGGGTGGGGCCACAATGGACGATCAAATTTTTACATATATAGGAATATATAGGAAAAATCTTTAAAAAAAATCTTCTCAAGAACAGTAAAGCTGGGAATGGTGATATTTACATGGAAGCATCCTCAGGTAGTGTAAATTTTAAATTTGTTCAGATCATGACCCCCGGGGGTAGAGTGGGGTCTCAGTGAAAGTTCAAACTTAAAGGGAAAAAAATTTAAAAAATTCAAAAAGCCATGATTTGTCAAAGTAATACGGAAACATCTTCAGTAAATGTAGATTCAAGTTTGTTCAAATCATGCTCTCCCCTTTTAGGGATAGGTTGGGACCACTCATGCATTTAAACTTTTCATTACTAAACTGATATCTGCCAAACGAGGTTGGGGGGGGGGGAGCTTATGTAATACCCTCAATGTTGGTGTCGTTGTCCCAGGTTAAAATTTCTTTTCAAGTACTTCTATGCTCTATATTAATCAGAGATGCATGGAGGATGCTTCTAGTATGTTTAATTGTACAATTTCAGTTAAAGAATGACCAGGTCAATGTTTTTGGGGCAAGTTAAAGTTTTTGGAGCAGGTCTCATTTCCAAGTAACTATAAGCCCTGTATTGACCAAACTTGCATGGATGATACATTAAAGAAAACACACTACCAGGCTTGCTTCAGATGCTGGATCTGACCTACATTTTCCAGATAAGTGGCCAGGTTAAAGTTTTTGGAGCAGTTTTCATTTCCAAGTAACAAAAAGCCCTATGTTGGCCAAACTTGCATGGATGATAACATCTATGGCTGCACACTCAGGTGTATGGGGGGTGGGGGGGGGGGAGGGGCTATTGATCATACAGTAAATTTATAAATTCTTCAAAAATCTTCTGTCCTCTCTGTACATGTATATTTAGCAGACTCCATGCATGGTTAGGATGATACAGTGATAATGTATGAATTCTTTATTTGATACTTCTTTCTTGCTCATGGATATCAAACAGGCAATCTAAATGAATGGTAATGATGAACTAGAGTGCCTCTACCTTAATTGTGAAATTGAAGGCCAGTGAGTAAGGGGTTACATGTATGCTGTCAGGGTGGGCACTATTGATAATGTAAATGAAATACATGAATTCTTTGGAAATCTTTTTTCTCTGCTCTTTAGCAGTCAAAGCAGAAAAACTTAATATTGAACAAAGGTTGTGATGAACAAAGGTATTTCTTCCTAAATTACGAAATTCATATCCCCAGAGTTGGGGGTTCTGGTTTAAGGTTTGGATCATAGAGTGAAAAATGCATTAAGTTTTTTTAACTCGCCCCCCCTGGGCCCCCTCTATTCAAAGTATGATATGACTAGTATTAATAATGCCAAACTTTGGTACATATAAACTAACCAATACCCATATTATTGTGCCTGGTTTTACTCTTAAAATACACAAAAACCCCTGGACCCACTGGGGGCCTAAAGGCGGCCCCCAGACCCCCTGCCTGAACGAAGTTATCCCCCCCCCTTCACAAATCCTGTTTCCGCCCATGATCAGTGTGGTATACATTTCTCTGTTACTTTATATAACTGTCACAACACACTGTAGATAAGTCATCAGATACAAGAAATCAGTGTGGTATACATTTCTCTGTTACTTTATATAACTGTGTCACAACACACTGTAGATAAGTCACTAGATACAAGAAATCAGTGTGGTATACATTTCTCTGTTACTTTATATAACTGTGTCACAACACACTGTAGATAAGTCACTAGATACAAGAAATCAGTGTGGTATACATTTCTCTGTTACTTTATATAACTGTGTCACAACACACTGTAGATATGTCACCAGATACAAGAAATCAGTGTGGTATACATTTCTCTGTTACTTTATATAATTGTGTCACAACACACTGTAGATAAGTCACCAGATACAAGAAATCAGTGTGGTATACATTTCTCTGTTACTTTATATAACTGTGTCACAACACACTGTAGATAAGTCACCAGATACAAGAAATCAGTGTGGTATACATTTCTCTGTTACTTTATATAACTGTGTCACAACACACTGCAGATAAGTCACCAGATACAAGAAATCAGTGTGGTATACATTTCTCTGTTACTTTATATAACTGTGTCACAACACACTGTAGATCACGAATACCTATCTATAGAGTGTGGTACATAATCAGAAATATCTACATTTAATACTACACGTTGTTACTTTATAAATTGATGTTTGAGAGAAAGTAAATAAATGTTTTTTGATAACTATAATATATTTATATAAAGTAAAGTTTATCCTGATTTTATACACTTTGTAAATTTGTATATAAAGTTTATTCATACAACCGGAAATATTTGATGTGGAGTTACATTGAAGTATTCTCATATACACATGTACTGTATAATAATTTAAATGTCCACTGTATTTCTTTTTAAATGTGTTTTAATCATCAAATATTGATTTTTAAACAGACTTCATAGTGGACACTTGGACCTTGCTATACAAAGAAATAAAGAATTCAGCACCAAGTATAAAGGTATTTATGTTTGTCTGTGTCTTAATATGAATGAGTTCTTTAGTTCTGAAAACTTAAACATTGATATAAATGCATGGATGCCATTGAGTACATAGTAAATTATATAAGCATGTTCTTGATGTAGACAATTCTAGTACAATGTTGTAATTTACAGAGAAATGTTAATGATGTAGATAATTCTAGTACAATGTTGTAATTTACAGAGAAATGTTAATGATGTAGACAATTCTAGTACAATGTTGTAATTTACAGAGAAATGTTAATGATGTAGATAATTCTAGTACAATGTTGTAATTTACAGAGAGATCTCCCTGACTGAGGAAATCAACACGGGATTCTGTTATAAAACCACAGGATAAAGATGAAATAAATGTCTGCTGTCAATGATGTATAGATTAGTGTTACAGAAATCTGTCACAGTGACAGGTGTTTATCAGTGTTGTCACATTACCCGTGTATCCTCAGACCGGGTCTGGATCAGTGATTATATCAATCTCATCTTGACAAACACAGCAGGTGATAAACTGCATCATCTGACAGGTATAGGTAGTTATTATGGAGTACACACTGTGAACAGTGACGGTGATTTAATTTATATAGACAGTGACTATAACATCAACAAACTGTCTACAGATAACAAAGTGAAAACTACAATAATAAAGTACACAGCACCATGGAGACCACAGTGTGTCTACAGCTCCCCCTCCACTGGAGACCTGCTGGTCGGGATGTGTTACTACACTAATGGTAAATGGACAGGCAAGTTAGTGCGGTATAACTCCACAGGAGAAATCATCCAGACCATACAGTACAACAACAACACAGGTCAGGGACTGTATAGATATCCTACCTACATCACAGAGAACCGCATTGGAGATGTTATTGTGTCTGACTGGTCCCGTGGTGTAGTGGTGACAGATCGTGGTGGAAGTCATCACTTCTCCTACAGAGGACATCCATCAGGATCAGGACTAATACCACGTGGAATCTGTACTGACGCGCTGTCACACATCCTGTTGTGTGATGATAACACCCGGTCAGTACAGATGTTAGACAGAGAAGGTAACTTCCTGTCATTGATAAAGATACTATTACACAGGATAGACGGACCATGGGGCCTGAGTTATGATGATAACAAACACCTACTGTGGGTAGGGTCATACCACAACAACACAGTGAATATATACAGAGTGGTAGATGGAGACTCTCAGACTGGTAAGTAATAACTTACTGTGTATTTATTACAAAGTTTACCTAAACATGACAAGGTTATTCATAGAATCAGATAAATTATGAAGGATCTGAGTTTATTATTTAGCACAGACTAGCTTTGTTGTATTGTTTATTTTACATTCCCATGTTTATATTGTTATATCTGTATGTTATCTATTAGATTTAAATATATATTCATAATAAATGAAATCTTACAATCATATGTCTAAAATATTTGTAACTAATTTACATACGTCTTACATTATTAAGTCCTTATGTCCAATTTGTTTGACAAATTCATAAAAGTTTAAGTTAATACAATAATAAGATTGATATAAACACCGTTGATATTCACTGTTTCTTATTTCAAATGTTTCTGTAATTTTGTCTCAGAATTTATATAGATTAGTCATGATCATCTATACATTTTGTGTGACAGACAGGTTTTGATTTATAGATCCATGTATGATATACTGTCATTGGAAAATTTTGTGCAGCTTTTTGAGAAATAAATTTTGTGTCATGTGATAAATTTTTGAGAAATAGTGAATGGATTAAATTTTAAAATCTTTTCTACTCATTACAAAATCCTTTACAATGTATTCAGTTTTAAGTATTCTACAGTCAGAACAGATGACATTTTGTACTGATGTTGACAGATATAAACACCATTGATATTAACACAGCTCTGTTTATGAATGTTGTATTTCTGTAGCAGGTGTGGGGGAAATCTACACTGTGTACTTTAGGTCACCTGAGTCACTCAGGTGACCTATTGCTATCCGTTTTTGTCTGTCGTAATGCATTAACTTTTGAATATTTTCAATTTCTTCTCTAGAACCGCTAAACCAATTTTGGCATGTAGCATCTTTGGGTAAAAGGGAACAAAAATTGTGAAATTCATGGTCCCTGCCCCCCTGGGGCCTTAGGGGTGGGGCTGATGCAATCTTTAAAAATCTTCTTTTACTCTTGGACATCAAGCAATCAAACTGTTGGCATGATTGTAATAAGCATTGAGCTCTCTACCAAAATTATGAAATTAATGGCCCCAGGGTGAGGGGTTCTGGTGCTAGGGCAGTGCCTAATTAATAGGTCATATAGTGAAAGTGCATTATTTCTTTGAAAATCTTCTCTTCTCCTGGGTATTATATAAAAAAAAAACTAAGTGCATGTTTATGATGCACAAGGATACTTCTTCCAAAATTGTGAATTTCATGGCCCCTGGGTCAGGGGTTCTGATGTTAGGCGGGGCTCTATTTATTATATAGTGAAAATGCATTAATTCTTTGAAAATCTTCTTCTCTGCTCCTGGGTATTATTTAAACAAACTTAGTGCATGGTTATGATAAGCAATGATGTCTTTAAAAATTGTGAAATTCATGGCCCCAGGGTTGAGGGGGGGGGGGGGGGGGGCTCTATTGATTATATAGTGAAAAAGCATAATTTGTTTGAAATTATTCTTTTTGTGCTCCTGGTTATAAAGCAAAGAAACAAAGTGTATAGTCATGATGAACAAGAGTGCTTCTTCCAGAATTGTGAGTTTCATGGCCCTTAGGTCAGATGTTCTGGTTGTAAGGGTGGGGCTCTATTGATAAAATAGTGAAAATGCATTAATTCTGTTAAATAATCCTGTCTTCTTCTTAGTGTTGAGCAGATAAACCAAATGCATAGTTATGATGAACAATTGTGCTTCTTACAAATTTTTTTAAAACTTGTGGTCCCCAGGACTTGGTGTTTTTCGGGGGGGGGGGGGGGGGGGGGGGGCAAGCAGAGTCAAGCAGAAAACCTTATTAAAAATGTTGCATCAAGATTACAATTTTTTTTTCTTTTTTATTTGTTTTCAAATTTAATTATAGTATGACATGAATGTGCATTTTAATTGCACTACAAAGCAGATAGTGCAGATCCATTCATCCCTTGGGAGTAATGAGTGGACATGCATCCAGTTAAAGATTAATTAATGAGTTCAGTGTAGGAAGGCTGGCTGTCTCAATCATTTCTGTTAGAGCATATCTGATCAAGCAGTTCTTATCTGTATCCTTTGGGAATTAAACAGAAGAACTGCTGGTCAGTTTATAGCATATTTCATTTGATGGCCAGTCTGTTATTAGGTCACCTGAGTCACTCAGGTGACCTATTGCTATCCGTTTTTGTCTGTCGGCGTGCGACGTGCATTGTGTGATGTGCGTTAACATTTGAACATTTTTAGCTTCTTCTCTGAAACCACTCAGCCAATTTCAACTAAATTTAGCATATAGCATTTATGGGTAAAGGGGAACAAAAATTGTGAATTTCATGGTCCCTGCCCCCTGGTGCCTGAGGGGTGGGGCTAAAACCACCAAAATTAATGCAATCTTTAAAAATCTTCTTCTTTACTCCTGGACATCAAGCAGTCAAACTGTTGGCATCATTGTAATAAGCATCAAGTCCTCTACCAAAATTGTGAAATTCATGGGCCCAGGGTCAGGGGTTCTGGTGCTAGGGCGGGGCTATATAGATCATATAGTGAAAGTGCATTATTATTTTGAAAATCTTCTTCTCTGCTCCTGGGTATTAAATAAACTAACTAAGTATATATAGTTATGATGATAAGAGTGCTCTTCCAAAATTGTGAAATTCATGGCCCCAGGGGAAGGGGATCTGGTGTTAGGGCGGGGCTCTATTCATTATATAGTGAAAATGCATTAATTCATTGAAAACCTTCTTCTCTGCTCCTGGGTATTAAATAAACTAACTAAGTATATAGTTATGATGAGTAAGAGTGCCTCTTCCAAAATTGTGAAATTCATGGCCCCAGGGGCAGGGGTTCTGGTGTTAGGGTGGGGCTCTATTGATTATATAGTGAAAATGCATTAATTCATTTGAAAATCTTCTTCTCTGCTCCTGGGTATTAAATAAAACTAACTAAGTACATAGTTAGGATGAGCAAGAGTGCCTCTTTCAGAATTGTGAATTTCATTGTCCCTGGGTCAGGGGCTCTGGTGTTAGGGCGGGACTCTATTGATAATATAGTGAAAATGCATTAATTCTTTGAAAAATCTTCTCTGCTCCTGGGTATTAAATTCAGTAACTAAGTACATAGTTATGATGAGCAAGAGTGCCTCTTTCAAAATTGTGAATTTCATGGCCCCAGGGTCACGGGTTCTGGTGTTAGGGTGGAGCTCTATTGATTATATAGTGAAAATGCATTAATTCTTTGAAAATCTTCTTCTCTACTCCTGGGTATTATTGAAACAAACTAAGTACATTGTTATGATAAGCAAGGATGCCTCTTCCAAAATTGTGAAATTCATGGCCCCGGGGACAGGAGTTCTGGTGCTAGGGCGAGGCTATAGAGATCCTATAGTGAAGGTGAATTATTTCTTTGAAAATCTTCTTCTCTGCCCCTGGGTTTAAACAGACTAATTTAAAAGTATATTCTTATGATACGCAAGGATGCCTCTTCCAAAATTGTGAATTTTATGTCCCCAGGTTTAAGGGTCCTGGTGGGGGGGGGGGGGGGCTTTTATTGATTATAAAAGTGAAAAAGCAAAATTTCTTTGAAGATATTCTTTTCTTTTTCTGGTTAAAAAAGCAAAGAAGCTAAGTGTATAGTTATGATGAGAAAGAGTGCTTCTTCCAGAGTAGTGAATTTCATGACCCCTGGGTCAGATGTGCTGGTGTGAGGTTGGGGCTCTTGATAATATAGTGAAAATGCATTAATTCTATTAAAGATCCTGTTTGCTCCTTAGTGTTAAGCAGATAAACAAAGTGATTAGTTATGATGAGCAAACTTGTGGTCCCAGGGTCAGAAGCTCTGGTATTTCGGGGGGGGGGGGGGGGGGGGGGGGGGGCTCTATTGATAACATAGTGAATCTGTAGTAAAAATGCATTATTTCTTCTTTAAAAATCTTCTCCACGCCTGGGCATATCTGAGGCAAACAGAGTAAAAGTTTTATAAGGAAGGGAATTTTACCAGATTTTTGAACATCTGGACCATTTGGTCAAGTGTTCTGGTCCTGGCCAGGGCTCAATTAGTTTGTATTCTACTGAGAGGAGTTATTCACCTTTGCCATTTACTTTTATAATTTATCACTGTAAATAATGTACTTGAAAGGTAAATAGAAGAGAATTATGCAAAAACCTTTATTGTATAATACAAAAAGTACTTTTATAGTTTTAATGATCAGATAGACTTGTAAGTAGTAGATAAACAGAGGCCCAAGGGCCTTAACGGTCACCTGAGTACAATTTAGAGGATCCATAAACTGATAAATGAAGCTTTAATTGTTGCCCAATAGCAAGAAAATTGGTACGATTAAGATCAACAAAATAATTGGTCTAGTATCTTTCTATCTGTCCTCCCTGTTATCACTAATAACCATGCAGACTTTTAACAAAAATGTCTATATTATTACCTCTCACATTGGCACTTGGCCTTTGAAGAACATTTAAGAACATAAGTTATTTCTGTTTCATTTTTATTCATCTATTATTTCCAAGTCTACCTGATTATTAAAACTATGAAAGTACTTTTTATATTATACAATAAATGTTCTTGCATAATTCTCTTATTCTATTAACCTTTCAAATACATTATCTACAGTGATTAATTATCAAAAGTGAATGGCAAAGGGGAATAACTTCACTCAATAGAATACAAATTAATAGAGTCCTGGCCAGGACCAAAACACTTGACTAAATGGTCCAGATGTTGAAAATTTACAAATTTGGAAGATGTACCCTCATCATCATAACTATGCAATTAGTTGAAGATTTTGAAAGAATTCACACATTTTCACTATATTATCAAATAGAGCCCCCCCCCCCCCCCCCCCCTCTCAGTGAAACAACAGAACCCCTGGGACCACAAGTTTTAAAAATTTTGTAAAAGCATCCTTGCTCATCATAACTATACACTTGTTTCTTTGCTTTATAACCAGGAGTAGAAAAAAATATTTTGAAAGAAATTATGAATTTTCACTATATAATCAATAGAGTCCCCCCCCCCCCTTCACCCGAACCCCTGACC